AAATGTATAACCTGAATCTAATCATAAAGAAACACCAGACAAACCCAAATTGAGGGGCATTCTACAAAAAATAACTGGCATATAATCTTAAAATTGTTGAGGCCTAGAAAAAGGCTAAGGAACCCATTCCTTTGGCCTTACGAACATTATGTATTAAACATAAAGCTGTTTGATAAGTGAGGTCATGACAGTAACTTCTTCCCCCGTGGGTTGGAATGCACAGAAGCAATTCACCACACCCTGCGCCCACAGGCCCTTCACCCCATTCTGATGGGCAGTGTGCTGCTTAGCACGTTATCTGTCACTCTTGAGGACTCTAGGAGTCTTCAACTGGGGCTTATGGACCTTCAAGGACTCTGTGAGCCAATCCTCTGAAATGATGAGCAAAAGTCTGTATGTACCTCTCTCCGCCCCCTGGCCCCAGAGTGAGTTCATAAAGCTTTTATCAAAATGAGATGACCCCAACAAAGGTTAAGAGTAGCTTTGCTCTCTACACTTAACTCTATCTCAGCAACACAGTTATTCACAAAGGAGAATACTGGCTTAAAGCAAAGGCTGGGTATTGACTGGCTGTAATTATAGGGTGGGGAGCCTCCCTAAGTCAACTAATAGTGAGTGACAGGCTGAGGAGGGGGTGGAAAAGGCTTTCAAATGAAAACAAAGGCGGATCGAGATAAAAAGTCTGCTCTCCTTAGCAGGGGTAGCTTTTACTGTCAAAAAGAAAAAAATGAGGCCTCCTTGCTGGATACTTACAAGGTGGTACGTGCTAATTTATTCGTCTTAACTAGCAGTGGGAGCTTAGCATAAATTCCCAATGTACACCTTCCCCTGCCCCCTTTTGCCTGGCCTCTAAGTTTGGAGTAGAGCTGGCTGCTTGCTTTTTACCCAGAATTCAATGGAGGGGTCTTCTCTTTCTGGGCCTCACATTAAGGCACATGGATTGCACACCTGCCCACACCCAGGGGCCCAGTTTGCACAGATTGTATGTAATCTGATTGGTGCCCCCGGGCTGTGCAACTTGGTGATCTTTCTTTATTCTTCTTTCTGTTTTCCTTTTTTTTTTTTTTGATGGATTTTTTTTTCTTTTGTTTTGGTCTCTTCACTGTTGATTGTGTTTTGCAGGCATCAAATCCAACCCCCTTATACTTGTCACCACATCTGTGGCTGCCACTGCAGCTTCCAGCACCATCTCATCTGTTTTTATTTATCACTCCTGACTCCTGTCACTTTTCTCACGCTTCTATCTTCTGTTAGGAAAGGACTGGCCAGCCCCCAAAAGGATGCGTTTCCCCCTGAGGTGTGAAAGTGCTAATCTCCTAGCTTTGGGTGCATGCTTTCCACAAGGTGTCATCCAGCTTTATTGAGGGGCTCCCACTTCACTGTCACATAAGCTGTATATGAGTTTGAATGGGGGCGGAAGGGTTTTTTCTTTTCTCTGCTTTGTTGTGTGCTGGTTATGATGCTTTTCAGGTAATTTTGAGTCAGGGGTCTCAGCCTGGGTTGCACATGAGAATCATCTAGGCAGCTTCTAAAATTCCTGATGCCCCGGGGACACTCCAGAATAATGAAATCATCTGGAATGGGACCACTTCATTATTATTATTTTTAGATATGTTTTTATTGATTTCAGAGAGGAAGGGAGAGGAAGAGAGAGAGAGAGAGAAACATTAATGAAAAGACAGAATCATTGATTGGCTGCCTCCTGCATGCCCTGTCCTCGAGATCGAGCCTGCAACCTGGGCATATGCCCTGACTGGGAATTAAACAGTGACCTCCTGGTTCATGGCTCGACACTCAACCACAGACTCATGCCAGCTGGGCATTATTTTTTTTGAATGTTCCCTAGGTCAGTGGTCGGCAAACCGTGGCTCGCGAGTCACATGCGGCTCTTTGGCCCCTTGAGTGTGGCTCTTCCACAAAATACCACGTGCGGGCACGCACGTCCAAGTCAGGGAGGCTTGATTTTATAGCTAAAAACAATAAGGCTTCCTCGCCGGCAAATAGATGCTTATCTTAAACATACTCTATTAAAAAGTAATCCAATACACCAAACATGGCATAGCTTTTTTGGCTTTGCCCATGCCTTGTAGGGAAACCTAAAGGGTTAAACAGATTGGTTCACATATGGATCCAAATCTAACCATTGCAGAAAAAAAAATACATATTCATTGCTGCTTTAGTTCCAAATTTAACGCAAGGCTCAGAGAGCACTTCGGCCTATATTTTTAGCTAAGCATAGAGAATTTCAAAATAGTTTGTTACCTAAAAATACACTTCCTGAAATGAACTTGAAGCCTGGGAGGGATGAATGGGTTTATTTTTTCTTCTATATTTAATGTTACCACAAGAAAGCAAACCTTGAATTTATATACGTGTATATTTTTAGAGACCCAGGAAACAGGTGCTATGTCCAAGTGACGAAGAGGGTTGAGTGGCAAAGTGTCGATGACAGAAATCTGATTTCACAGACATGGACTGTGGGAGGGCTTGGAAACTGTTTCTCTGGGTTTAGGCAGGGGCATTCTTAGCGAGAGGAGGTGATGAGGAGTTTTTCCTAAGCGTGATCCCTGGGAGAAGCACACTTCCCAACTTCTTAACCGGCAAGGAGTAGTTAGTGCCGCACATGGTCTAGGTCAGCGGTCACCAACCTTTCGGATCTCACGAACCACCGGTTGGGGACCGCTGGTCTAGGGACTTGATCTTCCTTAGTGTCTTGAAGTTCAGGTTGGTTGACCAAATGCCTTATAGCCTTTTCTCACTTGACTCTCCAAATGCATGCCTTTAATTACCTTCACTGCCAATAGAAATAGATCTCTTCAAGGAAAATGATGGGGAAGTAGGGTGTTATATATTATTGCCTCTCAGCACGCAATATGTGAGTTGCAAAGAATAATCTGCCTTCAATATGTGATTGGAGGATGTGAATGGATATTGCATTTATAATCATGCACCCCCTAATATGGGGGAAGAAGGTCTATACTCTTTCCTACTTGGTATGAAGGACCAAATGCAAACTTCTCATATTCATTTCTTTATGTATTCATCTCTTCACTCAGTATTCAATAAGTATTTTTTAATATCTTCTTCCATGCGACAGGCCCTCTTCTTGGCAGAGTATATAACCATGGCAGATACAGTCTCACAGAGCTTGCCTTTTGGTGGCTAGATTATAAGCATGTAAATGATCAAGTTGGATTGTGCAGAAGATAAAATGGAGTCTGGTCGTTGTTACTTGCGGGCTGCTATAAATGAAGAGCTCTCCTTTAACCAGAGACCAGAAAGGTGACAAGAAGCCAGACATAGGAACTAGTAAGAAAAGGCCCAAGGAAGGAAAGAACTTGTCGGGAGGGCTTAAACTGTTTCTCTGGGTTTAGGCAGGGGCATTCTTAGGGAGAGGAGGTGATGAGGAGGTTTTCCCAAGCATGATCCCCAGGAGAAGCACACTTCCCAACTTCTTAACCGGCAAGGAATAGTTAGTGCCACACATGGTCTAGGTCAGCGGTCACCAACCTTTCGGATCTCACGGACCACCGGTTGGGGACCGCTGGTCTAGGGACTTGATCTTCCTTAGTGTCTTGAAGTTCAGGTTGGTTGACTGACTCTCCAAATGCATGCCTTTAATTACCTTCACTGCCAATAGAAATAGATCTCTTCAAGGAAAATGAAGGGGAAGTGGGGTGTTATACATTATTGCCTCTCAGCACGCAATATGTGAGTTGCAAAGAATAATCTGCCTTCAATATGTGATTGGTGGATGTGAATGGATATTGCATTTATAATCATGCACCTCCTAATATGGGGGAAGAAGTTCTATACTCTTTCCCACTTGGTATGAAGGACCAAATGCAAACTTCTTTCATTCATTTTTTTATGTATTCATCTCTTCACTCATTATTCAATAAGTATTTTTTAATATCTTCTTCCATGCGACAGGCCCTCTTCTTGGCAGAGTATATAACCATGGCAGATACAGTCTCACAGAGCTTGCCTTTTGGTGGCTAGATTATAAGCATGTAAATGATCAAGTTGGATTGTGCAGAAGATAAAATGGAGTCTGGTCGTTGTTACTTGCGGGCTGCTATAAATGAAGAGCTCTCCTTTAACCAGAGACCAGAAAGGTGACAAGAAGCCAGACATAGGGACTAGTAAGAAAAGGCCCAAGGAAGGAAGGAACTTGTCTTCTTCCAGGAATAGCCCATGTGTCCTAAAAATTAATGGGTAAGGAGGAAGAGGATGGGTGATGGAGGTGGTGGTGGCGAGGGCTGAAGTCAGAGAGGTAGCAGACCCTTGAGGTGAACTCAACTTTCACTGGCCTGCAGGAATCCAAAGCCTTGGTAGTTTTTGGGATTGTTTCTAGGAGGCATTCTGTCTGTGTTGATTGATCAACTGATTTTCCTCAAGTCGGAGCCAGTCCTTGCAAGAAGTTCCCACAACTCTTTCGGGTGCAGGTCAGGAACAAAATGGTCAAGTCCTGCCTCACCTACAATGTCTCCTGGGAGTAGCCAACTCCCGTTCACACTTCATGGCTCTGCTTCCTTGTGACCTCTCTGCCCATCTGGGTGGTGACTCTTGTCTGGCTTCCACATCCTCTGTCTTTCTCTCTATTTTTGGGTTATCCTACCCTCATCTGTTTCCTTGACTGTCCACCCAGCTAAACTATAATTTCCCTATGGGTGCTTTTCATTGTGCTCCCAGCACCCAGAACAATGCAATAGGCCAATCTAATCTGTGTTTCTTGATGGGGTGATAAGGTTTGTGTAGAAAAAGTGCCTTATGAAGTCATGGACAAAAGCAAGAAATAACTCAAAATCCCCCCCTCCCCCCTGCAATGGCTTATGTTAACGGATTGTAGAGGTGCAGGGAATGCTCATCTGATGTGAAAGCATTATTTTGTCTTTCTTCATATTCATTTGTCTGACATCAGGTTCATTTGAAATTGCATAACATCATCAGGAATTCATTAGATAATCATTCAGTGTATCTTTCTTTTCCCTCCACAGTTAATAGTGATGTGATGATCACCGACAACAATGGTGCACTCAAGTTTTCACAATTGTGTAAATTCTGTGACGTGAGATCTTCCACCTGTGACAACCAGAAATCGTGCAGGAGCAACTGCAGTATCACATCCATCTGTGAGAAGCCCAATGAAGTGTGTGTGGCCGTCTGGTAAGGTTGCCTTTGAAAAAAATCTTTCCCCCCCTTTTTAATAAGTAACACATGCTTGTGGTACATAGAGTCCCAGTGTCTTCATGCCCTAAGCATAGACACAACCTATTTCTCTTTATCTTAGACCATCTCTCTTTTAATTGTTAAATGTGGTTTCCAGAGCTATTCCGTACATTTTCAAATACACACACACGTCTATCTATGTGTGTGACAGTATATCAGATGACTTTTAATATTTGCAATAAATCTGGAGACCCTTCCTTCCCTTCCTTCTATGCAGGAGAAGAAAATGACACTCTTCAACATTTAATGACATCCCCCCCCCCCCAGGAAGGAGCTTTGTTTTCCTGAGGCAGCCTCAGTCTCATTTTATGGAAAAAGAGGAGATGAAAGGTCGGCTGTTGGAAGAGGGGAGCACTTGTCAAAAAAGGGGAAGGTATTGCGGAACCAGAAAACAACCCATTCCTTAGTCAGAAACATTGGCCATGTCACTCACACCACCACTGGGCTATACACTACTTCTTTCTCTTGGATCAGAGCTACATATTTCCCTTAGATCAGATTCTTTCCCCTCTCTCTCTGTCTCTCTCCCTCCTCCTCTCTCTCTCTCTCTCTCTCTCTCTCCCCCCCCCCCACCATACACACACACACACACACACACACACACACACCTGCTTATAAATTATCTGATTAATTCTGTGAATTCGTAGTTATAATTGGGAGTGTGAGCAAGAGATAAAAGAAAAATAGAGATCATCAAGTAAGTTCCCATTTTATGAAAATGTATATATTCATTAATGAAATACAACATTTTGCAGACATATTCTCACGTTTTGAATTTATTTGAATTCATGTTTTTAAGTAACCCATGTGTCTCCTGACCAGTTGCAAATGAGAATGTAAACCCACATATCTCCCCCTCCCGTTTTGGGAATGAGTCTTTTGGACTTTCTCCAAACCACGTATCATTAGCCTTGATGATAGAGCGATCTAAAAACCTTGCAAATTTCTGTACATACGGGGGGATGAACTTGTTCCCTAAGCACTAAAGGAATGTTAACAGCACAGACCTGCCAGGACAGTTTGCTGTAGCTGCCAACTTCATTCATGTCCAGTTCTGAGAAGTGCTTTTGAAAAAAGAATTCTGACAAAGACTGTGTGGAGAAGAAAGGGACCAGCATTGGAGGTTTAGAAAGTGTGGCATCTGAAGAATGGCTGAGGCCATTAGACATGGTTCCAGGAAAGAAAGGACGAGGGTTCTCTTGAGAGATACTGAAGGACATGATAGCTCTTGAGATAGCTCAAGTGGGAAATAGAGTGAACGTTTTCTTTGAAATGCTGAAGGACAGAAGGAGAGTCTATGAAGTTTGCTCAGTACATACTTAAACGTTTTCACAATCACGGTTTCCTAACAGCAGAACAGACTTCCTCCTCTGGAAGAGTCAAAGGTCAGGAGGGGCTGGATGACTGGCAAGTCTAGTGCAGGAAAGACTGAGACACCCGCCTGATGACCCCAACGCTTCCTTCTCCACTACTCTTCTCCATTTATCATCTGTGCCTAAGTATCACTGCAGTGTGAGCTGACTTCTGATAATGAAAAAAAAAAGGCTTTTTAAATCAGGATCTTATTCCCTGACTCACAGTACAAGTCTGAATGATTGATTGTGAATCAAGCCACTGGAATAGAGGCTTTACTTGTCTCAGAAAATGGGACTGTGTGGGGAGAGGAAGCTTGCTGTCTCCACCATGTCCCAGCTGTGAAGTCAGTACTGAACGGTGAGCCTTAGTTTTACCTGCCTTGGGAAAGGCACACGCTCCTGATGAGGAGAAAGGCACATGCAGTGGGTGCTGTGCTATACCCCCCTCACCCTCTTCAGCACCGAGGCTCTCACCTCATCGGCCTCTGGAGCTCTGGCTGCTAAGGGATCACCCTAGTCCCTCCTGGGGACTCCCTTGCACTGAGCAGAACCGCTGCATTGGAGTTGGGCTTTTCCTCACGTTTGGCCCCTCTTCCTGGGCAGCCAGCATCCTAGAACTGATTGATGGAGGGGTCCAATGCCTGGCCACTTTGCCTCAACGTGGGACAGCTCTGATGGGCCATCCCAGCTTTACAGCTCCTGAGGGATCAGCTGAGTCCTTTATTTGCAACCTGCATTGCTGTTCAAATCCTTCATGTGCAGGTCACTTCCAGGTGCCTGTCCAAAAACCTCCTGCACAGAAACCTCATGGCCTCACTGCCTGTTTCCAGGGAACCCAAACGAGGAAAGGGGCCTGTTTTAGAAACAGTCACACATGGAAACTGAAAGCCTCTACCATGATAGGGCGTGCATGCCAAGGCCTTATCGGTTTTAGTGTTCTTTTCATTCATCCATTGAGTCATTCATTTCATGTCAACTGTGCACCCATTCCATGTAAAATGTTCAAGTTCTTTCCAAAATTAATTTTATGACCGTGGTTCTGCTTTCCAGTGGCTGTTGACAAACTCTTCAATTGCTCAGAGCAAATGTTGCTGGACAAAGACATCTATATTTTTTTTCATTGTGTTTTCCCTTCCTATGTTCATCTGAATCCCAAGATAGTTTGCCAAGTGAACTCTGCTGTCAGAGAGCAGTGTTACAGGTCTGAGTGGAGAAAGCAGCTAAGGACTTTACCCAGACTCAAGTACTGTATTTGAGTTTCCTCTCTGTGATTTTAGTTCCCTAGGAGCTAGGAGGTGGGAGGCAAGAGGTTCTGAAGGTGGTTCTGCTTTCCAGTGGCTGTTGACAAACTCTTCAATTGCTCAGAGCAAATGTTGCTGGACAAAGACATCTATATATTTTTTTCATTGTGTTTTCCCTTCCTATGTCCATCTGCATCCCAAGATAGTTTGCCAAGCGAACTCTGCTGTCAGAGAGAGCAGTGTTACAGGCCTGAGTGGAGAAAGCAGCTAAGGACTTTACCCAAACCGACTCAAGTACTGTATTTGAGTTTCCTCTCTGTGATTTTAGTTCCCTAGGAGCTAGGAGGTGGGAGGCAAGAGGTTCTGAAGATGCCCAGTCATAGCTGAGGAACTGTACTCACAACTCCTTCCTCATCCCATTCCTTGACCTCTAGAAGCTTCACAACAAAGAGACCCCATGCTTTTCCCTGGGAGCATAGCGGACTCACTGTGCATCTACACACACATGCATGCGTGTTTGCAACACACACACTCACAGACACAGCTTTGGGGGGAAGGAGGTGATCTAGTTTCAAGGCCACCATTTCTGCTACGACTTTCCAGTAACCTTGGCGTTAAGGATGGGTAGATTTGCCAATAGACATAATTTGTTGTGTGACTGTGCCAAGCCAAGTTTCATCGAGTTCCCTGCTACCACCCTGGAGGGAGGGTTCGGATGGTTGCTCCCCCTCTAACAGTGGGGACCTGCGTAGCAAGGCCTTGCTTCTGTTGCTCCTGCTGGAGTGTTAGTTCGAGGACCATTGATGTGTTTCACAAAGTGGCACGCCTGCTGCTGCCGGAGTCGCCTCTGGGCTGCATGGATGTCACCACCATGACTCCGTTCCAGCCTCACCCTCATTCCTACTCTCTTACCCCTCCCTCACACACTGTTCTTCAGTGTCCTTGAATTAAGCCCTAAGCCAGCGGGGGATTAGTCAAGTTGCTGTTTCCCTATGGCTATGGGTCCACTTCTTTTCAGGGGAGAACTGTCTTAACTGCTTCATGCTTCCAGCCTGCCTCCGATTTTCCTTGCTGTGAGCATTGAGATTTTTAGGGACGGGAAGGTGAGGAGGGTTGATTGGTGAGTGTGTGCTAGAGTATGCTGGCACAGGTGCACTCATCTGCATGCACTCAGGATCCTTCCCAGGGAAGATTACATGTGCAAACCTGACTGGACCGATCATGTCATTTAAGGCCTGATTTCCCCTCCAGATTTAGAGACTGCTGTTTAAGACAACAGCTATTTTGCATCTGAAAAGGGGAAGATGGAAGGAAGGATATCAGACCAACACAGTCACCCAAGATGGCAGGTTTTTGAGGGGAGCAGAGGGAGCAGGCAGAGAAGCAATGCACTTTCCAAGGATGCCAGAGGTTTATTTTGGCTTCTGCAATGATAATAGCGGGTATTAATCATGTCATTATTAGATACAGTGTACACATAGAACCAATTGAGCACTTCATAGGACCCAAGCAAAATGTTAGAGAGTTGCTGAGCCCGTAGCTGAGTGAGGCTCCCAATATGTGATGTAAAGGAATAAAAAATGTAGACACAATTCATTTATGGCAGCGTAAAATATTTCACTGAACTGTAAGTGAAGAACACCTTGCAGGTCTTTCCCATGGGTTTTAGTCCTCCCCCCTTCTGTTCCTTTCTGTGTTTCTGTAATTCTGGAAACTGCAGTTCTTTATCTAGGAGGCATCTTCCGTTTTCTCAGCACAGCCAGCTGCTGACATGGAACATGCCCTCACTCACGATGCCCAGCAAACAAGGAAAGAGGAACTGCAACTACTTCCCCAGACATGCCCTTTGAGAACAAGTTAGCTAGTCAGACCCTGGTTCTGCCCAGTAACCTAGAGATGCCATGTGAGCCTGGCAGTACACTCAGGATGGAAGGTTTGAAATCATCCTGGGGAGCCAGCAGTCTTCTGTTTCCTGTGCCTTCCCCTTTAACGACTGAATTAAGACAGTGTGCAAACTCCTCTGACAGGATAGCCCCTGATGTAAGCGCTCATGTTTATGATCATAAGTGGGCTCGGAGAATAAGCAAAGGAAAAACTGAAAGGAGTAGAGAAAGCCACAGGGGACTATAGGCAACCTGTTAATGCTGCCAAACAGGAACCAGCTGCCCTTCTGAGAAACAACTTGATGAAGGAAATACATTCCAGATTGCTTTTCTGTCCAGAGACCCCATTCATTCATCCCTTCTCTCTTTCTCTACTCCCCATCCCCGCCCCACCCATGAACCTCTGCACCCTAGGAGGAAAAACGATGAGAACATAACACTAGAGACGGTCTGCCACGACCCCGCGCTCGTCTACCATGGGTTTGTTCTTGAAGATGCCGCTTCTCCGAAGTGTATTATGAAAGAGAAGAAAGTGGATGGCGAGACTTTCTTCATGTGTTCCTGTAACACGGATGAGTGCAATGACCACATCATCTTTTCAGAGGGTGAGTTTCCTTCTCTTGATGGCCTGGAGCCTGACTTCCTCTGGGCTGATTTCTCAGGTCCCCGGTGTACAGTCTCACAGGACAGTTCCTCCCCCTCTGGCTGGTGCTGGAGAGTGAGCCTATGGTGGAAGGAGGTGCTTATGGAGCAACAGGGTCGGGTCTGGTCCTTATCAAATCTGACTCATAGGGCCCACGTTATTAGTTGTCTTGGACCAATCGTTTCCTTTCCCCAGAACAGTGGTTCTCAAAGTACAGCATGACCTGAGAATGTGCTAGAAATGCATATTCTTGGGCCCTACCCCAGACCCACTGAATCAGAAATCCTGGGTCCTGGGCCCAGCAATCTGTGTTTTAACAAACCTTCCAAGTGATTCTGATCCAGCTAAAATTTGAGAATTACTGGTCTAGATTGGAGGAGGCTGTTTGACAGCGGAGATGACTTGCTTTGAATGAACTCCAGTGGTTTAGTGTACATACTCCTAGGATTTGTCTGTCTAAAGGGTAGTTATTATTGGTCCCATGTGAGAAAAGAACTGAAATGCAGAGAGAAATAATGAGCCAAGGTTTACCCATGGAGACAGGAGAAGACTCAATTAGATTGTTCAGCATTCACTCAGCTTGAAAGAAGGGTACATGCTATTCCCTCAATTAAAAAAACAACAACCCCCTGTTCAATGATTTTAATTATAAAAGCAGTATATGTTCCTTATCAAAAATTCAAACAATCCAACAATATGCAAAGTTTTAAAATTAAAAGTACCCAACAATATGCAAAATTTTAAAATTAAAAGTACATAACCTCATCCCCTCACTCCTAACCCATCAGATACTCAATACTGAGAGTTTGTGGGAAACACATGATTCTCTGACATTCATTCATATAATCCCTGCAGCCTTTCTCCCTTCCCTGTCTTCCTCCATCAGTGCATCTGTCCTCTGTCCGTCCAGTCCACTCATCCATCTTTCAGGGCAAATAGTTGATCAGAGTATAAATATTATTGGGCAACATTTTTTTTTAGCCAACCACTTTTACTTCTCCTTCTAAAGAAGATAACACATACAGATACACTACACTGCACACCTTTAATTCCATAATATGGATTACCTTCTATGACTGAATCATTTCCATTGGGATTATTTAGGTGTCTCCAGTTAGTCACTTAATGCTATACTGAATACCTTTGTAAGCTCATCTTGCACATGTGTACTATTAATATTTCTGCGAGATAGATTTCTAGAAGCCAAGTTTCTGGATCAAAGTTATGAACATTTTAAATATAGTAACCATGACTAAATTGTTCTCCTTCTAAAAAAGATACCTGAGCATATGGATTTTCATTTACCTTATCCAACAATTATAAGCCTTTTCATTTTGCCAGTCTGATAGTGAAAATGATATTCTCTTGGTTTTAGGAATGCAAATTCAGAGTGGGAAAAGGTTATTAAGCCAAAATAGATCTGATTCAGTAAAAATTCCTTTTGGAACACAAGTGCTACGTCTGCACACCCCCTGTGTGTGTCCCAGTGATGTAGACCCATTTCCTTCACTCTGTGTCCTTGACCTCCTGCTAGTTCCCCTCTCTTCCTGTCCAGCTTCCCATTTATGCCAGCTTCTCAGTTCATGAAGGCAGGCATGTACATTTTTATAAGTAATACTTATAAATCACTCCTCCCTCCTACTTTCTCATTCTATAAACACACCATTTTTCTCACTTTCCTTATGTCATTTTGAGTTAGGAGGAAAGATATAACTAGATTAAATCACACAAAGGCATGTTAACACCTGATATCCTGGCTTAACATGTCAATGTTCTCCAAGTAGTTCACTTAAAAAAAATTTATTGTTGAAAGTATTATATGTCCCTTCCTCTCCTCCCCAACCCCCCGCCCACTGACCTCTTCTAACAGTTCACCTTTTAAAAGAAAGTCCAGGCTAAGCTAAAGGAATTAATATTTAAGGGCAGAATATCCAGACATGTTTACTCTCATCTGTGAAAGTATTTTTCTCCTTTTGCATACTGGCTTGGCCATAATGGAAGAGTTTATTTTATCCCCAAAAGACAAAATGTGATAAGTAACCTGCAAGTTGGATACATATAGTACTATAAGCTTTTTCAGATATTAGTGACTTCAGTTTTCAGTGTGTTTCAACTCAGGTGATAATCACAAGCCCACATTCACATATTTTCCCTCTTATTCATTATCAGACTATTTCCTTATGATGTGAGCTAATCAGCCTAAAGGCAATTTCTCACTGTACAACTCAAGAGATCCAGTATAGCTGATGACTCAGATGTCTGGGTGATTGCGGAGTCTTCTAACACGTTCCAGTGTTGTTTGCATTTAGTCTTCTAAAGTGTTCTAGGGGTGTTTCCTTTTTCAAAAGCATCTCTATTCTCCACAGTGAACCCTCCCCACCCCTCCGCCTAAACCAGCAACATTTTAGGATCCATTTTTCCTCTTTTTTATACTAAAAAATAAAAACTCTGCAAGTTCAAGTCAAACAAGATGGTGAACACGAAATCTCTGGTGGATCTTACACTGTATTTTTAAAAATATATATTTTTATTGATTTCAGGGAGGAAGGGAGAAGGAGAGAGAGATAGAAACATCAACGATGAGAGAGAATCATTGATCAGTTGCCTCCTGCACGCTCCTACTGGGGATTGAGCCCGCAACCCCAGGCATGTGCCCTTGGCTGGAATCGAACCTGGGACCCTTCAGTCTGCAGGCCAACACTCTATCCACTGAGCCAAACCAGCTAGGACTCTTACACTGTATTTTTATTAGGATAGTACTCTGGTCTCATTGCCAGATTTCTGACCTGCAAACACAATGGATGATAATTACTTACATCATCTGGTTTCTTAAGTCAGGGAAAAAAGCTTGAGCCACAGGGTGTTTTTTTTTAATTGTAGATCTTTACTTTCAGTGCTGTGATGCGTGATAGCTCACATTCAGAGAGAACGTATTGTTGCTGTGTAACAGTGCTCAGACCTTTCCATGGCATGGCCTCATTGAATCTCAGAGCTACCTCATGACATAGGCACTGGTAGCATCCTCATCCCATGAGTGAGAAAGCCAAGCTCAGAGACCTTGAACACTTTGTCCAGAATCACATGGCCAGTGGGTGGCATAGGTAGGATTTATAATGGGTTATATATGAACAAATCTATGAGGGTCTTCTTTCCTTCCTTCCCCCCTTCTTTCCTCCCTCCCACGTTCAGCGAGTCCTTGGAAAGCAGTATATCCCCAGGCTTACACTCTTCATGTGTTTGTGAGGAATGATGTTTATAAATGATGGCCAGCAGGATGCTCTCACCATGTGAGAAGATCATGGTCTCCTCAATAAAACCATCTCCCCAGCTAAGCCAGTTTTAAGCTGTTTGTCCTTGGGTGAACTAATTCACCTTAGACTTCCCCTCTGAAAAAATTCGGATAGAAATAGTGCTCAATTTCAATAGGGTTTTTGTGAAGATAAATGAGTTTACTCATGTAGGAACTTAGAATAGTACCTGGCACAGAGCTCATAGTCAATACATTTTGGCTGTTACTATTGTTCTTCTGGATTCAAATGAACGAGGAGCTTTATAGCAGCCTCATGTCATAGTCTCTTCCTTCCTGAAAGCCTTCAGTGGGGTTTTGTTTGATGCCATCCACCATAACAACATTCCTGTGAACCTCAGGGATGTGCTCACTGTCAGGAATGTGGTTGAGGAAGCTCTTTAGTGCACTGCATTGCTGTCTTCCTGAGAAGCCAGGAGAAATGGCTCTCAGCTCCCTGCCTCAGAAAGGTGGTTCCCACATGAGGACCTGTTTGCATCGGAACTTCAGGACACTTTGAAGCATGCAGAGCAGGAGCCAGCAAACTTCTTAGATGGAGGACCTGGTAATAAACATTTTTGGCTTTGCAGGCCATGGAGTCCCTGCTGCAGCTACTCAGCTCTGTCGTTGAGGCGGCCATAGACAGTATGTAAACAGTTGGACGCAGCTGTGTTCCAAGAAATCTTCACTTACAAAACCAGGCTTCAGGCCAACCCTGATGTAGATGGTCATGTGTTTTGTTTTGTTTTGTTTTGATATTTCTCCCTTCGATACAAACTACCAGAAAAGCTTAAAGTCCAATTTAAGTCATGCTCCTAGCAAGTTTGTGAGCACACATTTGTATACTGTTATCACCCCTGCTTGTCTGTGTTCCTACATTTATCTCCCATTTGTCTTGACCCCAGCTCCTTCTATCTTTCTTTACTATTAAGTTTCTCTATAGGTTGCATGTGATTTTTCTTTTTTAAAAAAGATGGAAATGGGGGAGGAGGATGGGAGCGTCCTGGAAGAGGTTAATGGGGGGAAAAAGAGAACCTATGTAATACTTTTAGCAATAAAGATTAAACAAAATAAAGATGGAACTATCAGCAACTATATCAATAACATCTATGTAACGTAGAAACCAGGACTCTGGAAACCGCTCTGACTCAAAGGTCAACGGATGGGGTTGAATAGAGGAGCGGACCATCAGATGTAGGGTGTCACCCAGGGTGTGTTCACCGCTGACCCGCGGGCTGCGTGCAGGCGTTCAGTTAGCACACTCTCTGACTGGAGAAGTCGAGGGAGGGGAGACGAGGACTTCTAGTAGCCACAGAGTTTCATTCCTTCCTCTCTCATTGTTGTAAGAATTTCTTTTAAATGAAAACAGACTCTTTGGTTTGCAAGCCTAACTCTGGCAGGAAGACAAATGATTTTTTTACAGCATCAGACGCGCGGTTTCCTGTCTGTGTTTAACTTGCTAGCAGAACATCTCAGCCAGCTGGTTCCCCGTGGACCTACTGTGACCTCAATAACGTTGCCTCCTGCCCTCCAGCAAGCCCACTCTGTGTATTGATCACACGGCCGGTGCACTTGATTGACTCGTATCGGTTTCGGAGTCCGGGAAGGCTTGCAGGGAGGTGCTGCCCCTTTTCTCTCAAATCTCATTTTGTGTTTGTTTCGCTCCAGGATCAGGG